CAGTTTAGTTGCCATAATTAGAATTTAATTAGAATTAGAAAGACAACAAATCCTATTGAAGAGCGAGTAAGTGAACACTGGAAATAAAGTGCACATTATGGCAGCATGAGATGTACAAAGATGGCTGGGAAAGTCAGCAAATAATACATATGTTCATACAACTATGCAATAAACATATCAGTCTACTAATGATATAAAACTGATTAAACAATGCATCAAATTTATATATAAAAAACCGTTATGATATCAAAGTTGTGCTAAAACCGAAGAAATCATATAGCTTTATTATAATTTTAAAAAACATTCTATTTCATTATATTTATTTACAATCTATATGTGGTTAGAACTATCACTGACGCTAACTGGAAGTCCGTCTTTCAGCAATTTCCAATCTATATGTGGTTGGAACTATCACTGATGCTAACTGGAAGTCCGACTTTCAGCAATTTCCAATCTATATGTGGTTAGAACTATCACTGACGCTAACTGGAAGTCCGACTTTCAGCAATATTAAAGCGCGGTGGTCGTCGCGCAGCTGTGTAAAATGTATTTTACACGCGTTGTATACCTCGCTGTGAGTCCCATATCGAACAGGACGCGGCACGACGACTGCCGCCCTTTAACCGAAGGTAGGCGACTAGTGACATGCGTCAACCTGGTATATGTTAGTGTGAAAGGCCGACGACATTGCATTAAAAATGCTATCCTTGACATTGTGTGCGTAACATATTCAAATACGTGTATTCGTGCGATACGCGTTCATAAACACAAAAGATTATGTTTTTATTATTTGTAAATATAGCTATTGTTATGTGAACGTACACATATGGTCACATCATTCATGACTGACCAAGGCCACGTTATCTGACCTGTGACGGTGTTGTATGTTGTAAGCATTGTTCTCTGTGTTTATATTCACCTTTTGTGTATCTAACCATTGATTTTTTTGATTTTTTTCAGTGTACTACGTCATAATCAAATGGAAGTATTTGCTTAATGCAATATAAATGGTTAAAAAGGTAGATTTAATGGGCAAATAAACGGAATCGACCCTGGTTATTTTCCTGGTTGTCATCAGCGTACTAATGCGTAAACAATTGAAACTGGGTAATATCACGTGATGAGGAATTGTGCTCCTTTTAAAGTGGGTAAGCCGGGCAAGAGAGATACATTATGTGATTTGTAGGAGATTTTACGATTTGCATGTAAAGATGTGAAACTAATGGTTACCGTAGCAACAAATAGTTACATTCGTTAACTAAAACATTAGCCATTTTCTCTAGAGGCTCCAACGCAACAAAAAAAAAACAGCCATTGGGATTCATATAAATTGCTTGTAATAATTACTAAAAAGCTCATTACATAGATTGATTAGTGTATTTCAAATAGGTAACAGACCTCGGGCCACGTAACACTGTAATATATTATATTTTTGGTGTAATTATCTTCCCTGAAAAGTTATTTTGGCTGTTTTGTATGACATTTATTTTCACTGAATTTCAATGAGTTGAATGTAAAACATAGGAACAATTTTCACTGTATTCTATTTTCAATGAAAATAGCGAAAATGAAGTAATTTACATTACAATATATGACAAATAAATCTTATATACGATAATAAAAGTAAATTATGGTAACTTCAGAGATTTGTTATATAATCATTACATTTCCATCGCGAGATCTCATCGAACTGTTCGTGGGTCTATTCTAGATATAAGCTGTAATACGATATATTATATGTAGCATATTAGGGGTCAACCATTTCAATTTATGAGGGGGCTGGCGGGGAGAGTGTAACCAATACAACTTTTGTTCACAATATCTTGTTTGTCATTTTTCTTGAATGTTTTAATATGTGTTCTCTGTAACACCTTGCATGTTTTGTTTTTTCTCTAAACACTGTGTATAGCTTGCAATATGTTTTCAACAAATTTTCCAGTCAACCCATGATTTCAAATGGTCAACTCCTTAGATTTGCGTCTTTTGATTTATTATAAACAGCATGTCATCTTTGTGACTTCCGGTTTATTTCACAGCACAATGCAGAGGGGATGGCGGTTTTAGCAACGTCAGCAAATCTCATGGCTTGCCAAATCTGACTCGGAAAAGTCCAAGCTCAACTTTGACTTGATAATGAACCGAAGTATAAGTAGTTAATGTGGATGATCTTGGGTTTTTTTACCTGTAAAATAGCGTTCCATTCTTTCCCGTCAACTTAGTAAATAAATAGTTCATACATTCATGAATGATGAAATGTACATTTGTGTGATGTGGTCGCTGAACTCTAATTTATGGGAACGCGTGGCACGCTGTTTGAAGACGCAGTAGTGCTCCTTTGGGTTTGGCCCTTAATCAACCATCAATCATAGTTGCTCTGTTTGCAGATGGACAGTTTTCAGTTTATTCAGTCGTATTCCCCGGTTTGTATTTGGCCTTTATTAAACAAATGTCAATAAATACCACCTTGATACCCCCACACTTGTGCGTAAAATAGTCAGTCACTTCATGTCAGGATAAAAAAGTGAATTTCAATTAAACATACGAAAATAACTTTACATCGTGGAAGTAGTTTTTTATTATTATTTAGATTCTTTTATATAGGTAGGTTAAGGAGGCTGAAAAAAGACACCGACGGCATGTGACCATCGGCCCTTTGAAGTGAACTCTGGACTTTACATTTAGTATTTTGTTAAGATGCAACGTTCAAGCTTATGCATTTTGTATTTAAATTGTACACTTTTGTATTGTAGTCGTCTCTGTCGCTTTAGGTTCTTTTTGCGTAGACAGGTATCATAGTCTGTATAGACTGACTGACAGAGAGACATTATCAGTTTAGTAGGGATATAGAACGGCTACAAATCGGCGAGGCACGCCAAACTCAAGGAATTTCCACCAGAGGTATTTGTTTCGATCTAGTCTTAGTACATGATCACCATAATGTATATATAAGATATCGACTATATATGATTGTCTACAGTTGGTTAAACGTTTATTTTGTGAGTACAACAATTTAGCTTCTAGTAATATTTCACACTTTTGGGACGTCTAATACACATTCCGATTGCCCGAATAAGTCGAAGAGCGTGTTTTTTTAATTATGCTAGCAGTATAAACAATATATATTTCTCGGTTTTTCGTTTTGGATTCAAACGCCAATAACACTGCACGTAAGGGTAAATCCTGTTGTCAACTGAAATCGGCAACAATGTTATGTTGCACTACGTACATAGAACGCAATGAAGAACATTGCCAGCCCAGCTCATGATTTTGGGTTGAAAAGATTGTAACATGAGATTGTTTTCAGAATTACGTAAACGATGTTCGCTCCTAAATTGGTATTGATCAGCGTCTGTATTTTTTTTTAATTATGTCGATAATTTTAAATACATCAACGTTGTCATTACCAATAATATACACGAATAAACCCCGTAACGCCTAAATACACGTGCAATTAACAACATCGCTCAACCTACTAGTATCTATAGTATGTATGCTAGTTCCAGGGCCCATTTCATTCACTCACGGTTGCAAGTGGAGCGTTTTGAATGCTGTATCAAATTTGTACATGGTTTTCGTTGCTTTGGATTTATTTACAAGTCTCAAAATTATATATTATATGGGAATAACCCACCATTAATACTCGTGCATATATGAAGTGTGCAATATGAATTGCGCAATAACCCGCTGGGGTATACCCCACTGCTGCTGGGGTTTAATTATACTGCGATACGTTATATTATAGAACGCTACCCGCAACCGAGGCCGGGAATCGAAGCCAACAAACGCCAGTCTGTGGCTTAATAATCGCATAAATGTGATCGGCTTAAGAGCAATAAACCACCATTTGGCCTTAGCATTGTACTATATTTTACATAGAAGCATTCCGCGGTATACTGGATTTATTGCTTCGTTGTCAATGCAAACCCTCGGAAAGGATAAGATCTTATATTATAATGGCAATAAGTGAACAAATATAAGTCAATCAAACTAAACTATTGCAAGAACTAAATAGGGAAAACTAGTAAAACACATATTAACAAAATATACTCCAAAAATGACTCCTCAAAGCGGACAAGTATACTTTTATTATGGACTAACAAAATATTCTATCATTGTCCGGTGATTGAGGGCAGTATCGGTCATACAGTTACATACTTATATTGTACACCAGAAGTGTATATGTATAACTGCCAATTAATATTTGTATTTTATTTGGTATGTGTGTATATTAATATTGTATTATAATACATGTGTTTAGTGTACACATATGTTCATATGTGTTTGGTTAAGACCTAACCAACCGTCATTATTTGTAGAAATGTGGGTATATTCATATTCTGCTACCGGCATGTTGCGTATCATAAAGCCGTTTTTTATTTCCGCGGATTGATTTGAGGATTTTAGAATATCGCCGATAATGTGGTCGAGTTCTTATCGCGTTTCATTAATTTACTGAATAATAAGGGATGACAAGCTTCTTTATCGAGGCCTCATTTCCAAGGTCATTGATATCATGATTTTTCATAATATTTTACTTCACTAATTCCAATGCTTTAGAAAATACGCCAGCTGAACAATTTCCATGTTCAATAAAAGTCAGAATGTTCGATTCTACGAAAGAGGGAGAATGTGCCTAGACTAAAATACTAAAATTAACAGTATGTAAAAAAAACATCTCCCCGACTGATTCATCCGTCGATCCAAAATAAATTATTTTTATCGTGTGCATGCTATTGTCTGGCCTTTAATTTATTATAATCGCCAGTAGATGTTATCTCATCTATTATTTGTCAATTTTGTCAAAAACAACTTGTGATAATTTAAAGTGCATTGACTAATTACTCTTACCAACAGTGCGGAACCATATTATAAAGATACTAATAACGTTAGTATTTCCATGGTTCAAGCATTCATCATCAGAACAATGAAGATCTAATGTTGTATTCATCCCTCCGTTATATAACACCCCTCCCCGCATATTATTGGAATCGTTCATTTATACCAGTAGTTGGGCTGGCCCGTAGGACGTTTATCATCGATTTGATCACGACATACGGCGATACTCGATTACCAGAAAACCACTTTCACGGTCGATGTACGGTTGGTTTAATAATGACAACTTTGTTTTGATAATGACAGTGGAAAGCCCGTCATCATTGGTCCGACATGTGCAATAGGATTAACATACCGTGACTGTCCTGTTATAGGAATGTAAGTTGCCTGCGATTCACAACTGGAATACTTTGTATCTGCCACTGGAAGCAATATATCAGGTAAGTCTTGGTAAATATTTGATTTCTGTGTATTATAGCAAATCAATATATTCGTTAGATGAAAAATACTCTGACAATATAATTCACTCTAATTATGCCCGTCGCGTGATAATGCTACATATGTGACAACAATGACAACATGGCCGTGAAATGATACGGGACAAACAAACATGGGTCTAATGGATGTACTGTTGATACTGTGGTAGTCCGTCCTATCGAATGGAAATTAGCTTCTTGGGTTTCAACTACAAATTATGACCATATACATTTTTGAACCATAGTGCGAGAAATCACCCAAATTAAATTAGTTGCAATGCTTTCTCGTTTTTATCATGGAATCCAACATATTTTGACAAGATTTTGACATCACGATGATGTTAGTGTTTAATTAATCAATGACAGGCACTTTAGTTACATAACAGTACCATGCAAACTGAGATGTACTACAATGGGAGTTTCATGATATTAGTTCGTATATGGAATATATATTGTCCACAACACCACGCTTCGTAAAGAAAGGGAACAATTTATTATCGTCATTATTCAAATACTGCTCGTGGACGTAGTCGTGTCTCTGCAACCGAGGCGAGGAGGCGAGTACTCTCCAGAATAATACGTTCACACAATCAGAAACAAAGCATTGCTATTGTCAACTATAACGTGTTGAAATATGAAGGACGTTAAATCAAACATAAGGGAACCAATGTATTCTCGTTATTTCTGAAAATATCGTAGTACGACCGAACAAAGAATAATACAAAGGATAATATATAGGCAAATCACTCTCGAAAACATGTCACAAAAAATGTTAAAATCGTGTGACAATTTGTCATTTTTCTACACATCTGTAAAACGATAAATATGACAAGCATATGGAAAAAATACGATTATGACTACTTGCTCGATGATAATAATGCTATCGCACAATGACTGAGAAGCATTGCTTCAATTATTTTATTAAATACTCCCGATATATAGCATTTAACATACTTTAAGGTAACTGTTATCTTAATGCTGACGATCTCCGTGAAATACATTATATCGACATTTACTTTAGCAATAAACTGTTCGTTGTTAACTAATGGCGTGAAGTAATTATTATTACATCGACAGTAGCTTGTATAGAGCTCCAAGTTCAATGTTTCATAGATGTGACCATCCCTTGTTAAGTTAATATCTTGTATCGACTGAATAAGTGTTAGTATGAGTAGTGCATAAGATATAATTATTCATGACATTCAGTGTTTTACGAGTGGTGTGACCTTAATTAATTGCAGTGGGATATTTATAAATTTTACTATTTCTACGTGTACTGTACGGCTTATAATGACCCTGTACTTGCAATGGGTAAACATCTGTAGCCTCAAATTAAACATAGCATTATATTTACACGATAATACTCAGATCAGTGTATCCATAAAGCCAACACGCTTACCTGAAACAGACATTTTGTGTACCGACAAACCTATTACGTATACCCAAAACATACATCAACGTGTACCCGTAAATCATAACATATACCTGAAACAGACTTCAGT